GCATTAATGCCATATAAGATTATTTACACACTGATGGAATTCCAAGAGGAAGCAAACAAGCACTCCGCAGTTTCACATTTTAACACCTATGGACCTGCAAGGAAAACTCAACATTTGAGGACAGACGGAAGACAGAAATCAGTATTACATAGGCTCGCATTTGCCAAAAAGCTTCGCAGCTTGCCAATAAGCAGGACTCAAGGTGTTCCCCTTTTTAAGCATACTCTCTTTCCAAAACTGGGCCTCCATACTAAAGTTCAAACTTTCATCACAAATGGACAGTTGTTGTAAAAACGACATCTGCAGCTTGACCCTTCCCATGTCTGACTGACATTTTAGGGCATTTTACGCGCACTGGGGAGAAAGCAGTAAAATCGGTGCAAAAAAAGTGTCATCTTTTTTTTCTGTAAAAGAAACTACCTTTTGGTGGGGTGGGGTCATGGTTTCAGTTTATCGACACTTCATTCGCAGATCATGTACTACCGTAAGTCCTCGTAACTAACGGATTTGAATACATATGGATCAGAATTATTACAGTCCTATCCTTATTGCAGTTTATTTTCTCCACATTTACCACTGAAAGTGCCAGGAAAACAACATATAAATGTGTCCTATTTCCATAATTTATACTTCTTTGATTAATGAAATACCTGAATTAGACTTAATTTAAAGTAAATCAATCACCAATAATAATCACCAAAAAATAAAAATCAACCCGCAGAGCATTTTAAATTACATGTAAATCATTGTTCTAAATCGGCATATAGCTAAAGCGTTTGCGCACATTAACCTAGACAAATACATGTATGTTTATTTCTTAAACACTTTTTGTGTTTACTACACTTGATTACATTATAGAGTTTTAGACTAACTCAGTTGCATTAGCATACATGTGTGTAGATTTCTTTGAGTTGACTAGTAACCTATCGGGAAAATGGCACAGTCTGCTGATGTAACGTGTCAGCCTCGTCCATCGCAAAGACACTACTCAAAATGTCGAAGCGGTGGGAGAGTGGGACGTTTTCGACATGTACATGAGCCTACTCCCCCAAGAGAAAATGGCCTTCCGTCATGATCATGTATGGTACGTACACTAGAAATCGCAGAATTTCCACCGATTTCCAAGATTTACTCCACGCCAGTGTCAGTGGTGCTGTATGCCATAACACTTTGTCATATTTCCCATTACCCAAGCAACTTTGCACTGCTCCTTCCTTAGTTTAATATTCAAAAAGCAATGTTCAAACGAATTTCAAGATTAACGAACACACGTCCTAGGAGCGTTAAGAGTACATTTCTAGTTTCTTTCAGTTCAGTCGGCGTTTACTGGTCAGGATACACATATAAGGAAATTAGTGGACGTGTGGAGAGAGCAAAGTCGGCACTTGTGACCCAAGTTATGTATTTTTAAAAATATGATTATTATTCTTCGAAAGCTTGACGGTCTACTCTTGAATACAAGTGCATTATTTACAGCCTCTCGTTAAAAAAAGAAAAAACTAAATAAGCACGGAGTTGATGGAATTCTACAAGAAATGCGTAGCTTGGAAAGAATGAATGACTTTAATGATTCTCTAAAATAATACTTTCAACACTGCTACAACATTAGGAACGGGTCTTGAGAAAAAGCTAAATTTCGTAGATTCATAAAAAATGAAGAATTAGATAGATGGCCCTTTAACTACTGCAGCATACAAATACAAGTACTTCGCAGTCCGATTTTGTACAGAAGGAGGATCCAGCGGGAATGAGGCACTTATATGAAAATACATTCTGTGGCGACATGCATAGTGCTGGATGTGAGATATCAATGGATCCACAAACAACGATGAAGGCACAAACCGACAATCAAACACTTCCTGAAATCTAGATTTCGAGCCGTTTTTGTGATCTTAGTCTACTTCCGAGGGCTCGTAGTTAATGTCAAATGTGTGGGCATGTAGAATTTACAGACTGTACAATGTTTGATGAAGACATTGGATGAAGCAGTTCACACTTGAATTCCCTCTAAAAATAGCAACTGCCACCAGTAAAAATCAATGACTTCTTTCTAACCATGACTGCGAGTATACACCTATTGTGTTTTGTACCAACTGAAGCTGCAACTGGCGTGTACATTTGTTTGAAGGGGTACGTGTACATGCTTGGTCAAATACATCAATGGTGTTGGATATGTCTGAGCATAAATGTTACACAAATGGAGGGCAGAAGTTCAGCAGTGGATGACTTCTTCCCAACTCAACTTGTTCAACTTGCTTCCCTCAACCTTTTCCTGCCCCAAAAATTGGATGTTTTGGTTTCGTGGAATGTCACAGAAATCAGTAGCAAAAATATACATGTACTTCTGCTTTGGTGCTATGGATCAGTGTTACTGAGATTCACCTGCAGATTAGGGAAAACGCTTAAGTCACTAGTGAACCCTACCTACACTAGGTAGGTATAACTTTATCCCTAGATCATGACCAGCAAGTAAATGAAGCATTATAATGGGACCATTTTCCTGCCAACACTTTCCAGAAAAAAATATCACTGTGGTAAGAGCCAATTATCAAGATGAAATGTTAGATTCTGAATAAGAGAGCCGATGAATTTAAGCTGTTTCAAAATATTTGATGAGTTGTAGTCTGTGCTTTTAAATAGTAGATCTAAGAAAAACTCGAACACAAAAATTTCCAACAAGAGAGCATTCTCAAAGATTGCATTACTTGCCAGTACCAACAACTTACATGGTTCAGTGTTCTAAAATATTTCCTTTTCATATACATGTATATATACATACAAATATAAGAGTATCAGAAAGATTTTCGTTGAGTGCAAATACAAAATAAATTATCAAGCTCACAGTCATAAAATGATTACTCCCAGCATATCATATTTTCTACTCACAGACAGAATTGAATTTGTCATCAAGGCTGATTTCGTTATTTTCAACCGAAATTATAAAAAGTTTTAGAAAATTTGACAGATTGCTTGTACGTGTGCACAATGCATTACATGACATATTCTAATCTGGGGGAAAAGCCTACACGTACACAGACAGATGTACATGGCAAAGTTGAGTTCATGCACAGACAGAATAACATAAAATTGCAGAAAAGACAAGGGATGCATTTAAGACACCCTGGGTGTCAAAAGACAAAAACAGACTTATTCGAGGACTAGCAATGCTCTGTACTCCAGCGAATCAAAAGTCCCTCCACAAGTTCCCGTCCAAAGCCACAGGGAGACCAAATTTATTTGATTAGCTGGAAACTTAGCTTGCAGGCACTTGCAGGGACTCGTGGTAGCTTTGAAGGGGGTTGTGGTGGACTTGACTAAAACACTGCTATTCTCCTTCAGTTTTATCATCAAGGGCAAGATTTACTTAAGGGACAATCTCAAGACTCCTCCAGGACAAGTTGCGGGTGGCAACATTGACTTCACCCACAAGAAGCCCTGCATTTGTCCTGGACGAGTGAATGGCTGGTTTATATTTGGCCTCAGTGCACACAAAAGGTTGCCCCATATAAGTTGTGCTATTACAATGTTAACTGCCACACACAGTGTATCCATGAGTGCCCAGCCTTGCTCAAAACCCCAGGAGGGGCACATTATGTAAACAAACTAACTGCATCTTAGTGGGAAGATTGCGGACTATATGGTTAAGAATCCTGCAACATAACCCTCAACAACGTCCGCAACTTGTCCGCAACTTATCCCGGACGAATTTTGAGATGACTGTTTACAAGAAGTCTGAGCAGTCAATGAATGCACTTGTGCACTCAGCTTTCATTTAAAGATCAATATCACACTGGTTTGGATGCTCCTCTGGCTGTCCGCTTTGAGCACAGTCGGTTGAGGGCACGTTATCTGTGGTTTTAGCAACCTTGCCGGCGAGCTGCTATTAAAAATACACAAAACATCCACAACCGGTCAAACAAACACAAACATCTTATCCTCAAAGTGGATTGGCTGATTCTACAGCAACACACATAGCACTGCACTTACTGATCCTGCATCTGGAGAACTGCTCAACGAGACTGGAAAACTTGCAAGGGAATGTGCCATTCTCTGTTCACAACATATTTTGGTCACTCAAAGTAGTGCAAATGGTTAAGATGATGGAAGAAAATTATTCATTTGAAAACAGGGCATAAATATTCCTTGAACACCGTTGCCCTTTCTACAGTGTATAAAAAGCAAAAAATACATACAATTCTAAAAAGCCATATTTCTCAATCTACAACAAGATTCCCTCTACGCACAGCCGAAAGAAAAACAACATTCACCGAATGCTCTAAACATCTACATCGTACCTGACCAGTTGAAACTTACTGTGATTTCCCATGAAACAGGCTTTGCAGTTCATCACATTTGCTTCAAGATTTTCAATGCGTGGGTTTTCATGTTGTTTGTGCCTGTGGGTACACAGAAAAATAGTGTGCTTTGCACAAAGTATTTGTCATATGGCCTGGGGTCTCTCTATCGCAATAAACCATTTTGATTTACAATCTAGACCGCTAACAATGTAACAGATGTGAGACTTTCAAACAGAAAGTCATTGAGCACAAATTAGACACGTTTAAAAAATAAATACTAACTACTAGTACACATTGAATATTTCATAATTTGCAATCCACTGCTTTCAGTTGCAGTTCTTTCATTAGCTTGAATCGTTTACTGTTCCCTGGATGGATTCCAAGATTTGTAGTAGGTTTTTCAACCCATACAAGCACCCTTTGTTGCTGGACTCGATGTCAGTGATGTGATCCGGGTCTGACTCAGAATTGGCAAAGTCGATGATACGGAGGTCCACCAGCAAGTCCCGCGAGACCTCGCTAGCGCCCACTCCCGACTGGTCCCCCGTGTCCCCCTCGTACATGAAGAGCAGCGAGGTGCTGAGGAAGCTGAAGGTGGTGATGGCCGACACCACTCGGATCAGGCCCTGCAGCTTCTCGATGAAGGGAGGCAGAAGCTCCATTCGGACCTGGTCGCAGGTGGAGAAATACTCACACAGCGCCCTCCGGAGGCCGTCTTTGCCCAGGCGGCGCCCATCGTACTTATTTCGGCATTTGTAGCAGCCTTTGCTTGGTTGGTACACCTGCAACAGAACAGGAATAACGGAGTACTCTCCATATGTCATTTGCTGGCAAGGAGGGTTCTTGTGGCCAGAAATACCACATTCATGAGCCTACGCTAAAGTGGATGAAGCTTTTGGCTAGCAGTTTTCAGAGGACGTGCCTTGTTTGCAGCCGAAGCCAATAATCTGGACAGGTCCTCCATGCAGGAACCATGGCCTTCTCACAAGGACAAAGTTGCTATCTTTGAACTGAATGAGCACAAAACCCTACTTTGCAGCAAAGTACACGTACATCACGTGCAGATGCACTATGGTAATGGTGCTGTAATGTCTATATCCCAAGCTTGTTCCCCTATAGGCCATCTTATTCATATATGCTACATTGGTTTGGAGGGTGTAACACTAATGTTTTCCATTTCAAAATGGCAAGGGCAAAATAACGTACACAGTCCAAAAAGATTGAGACTGGATCCTATCAAGGGGCTGGGGTGAGAAGTATTGCACACATTCATGCAAATGGCTGCAGCTGTTACCTGGCAGATTCCATAAGCTAATGCACTATTGCCCGTAGTAGCTAAGTGAATATGAATGCAGCCTTAGGCTCACCTGCATGCCGCACAGACGTAGGCCTAGCGTGGCCGTGGTGGTGGCTGCATCCCGGTCGATGTGCAGCTGCCGTTTGGCCTCGGAGTGGTCCTTGTGGTAGGTCTTTGTCCCCAGCTTGATGTCCAGGATGCACGGCGAGCGGAACTTGGAAGTCAGATTCTCCAAAAGAATGAACTCTGGAAAGCGTTTATTGTTAGGGGAAATACCTTTCAAAGTCTAAAACACATCATGTTCCCTGACCTAAGGCAAACACCACTCTGCTTCTGAGGAGAGTGGACAAAATGAACAGAACTGCCCAAAAAAGAGAGGAATCCAGGTTTTGTCAGCTACCAACATGCACCTTTAAGATAGTCTGTGCCCTACAGTTAGTGGGCCAAAAACACTGCTCAATCAAATAGCACATACTGCACTGAGCACACAATTATTTGAAAGTGCAAAGAAACTAGATGGACTTCGAGTAGACAGCAATGCCTGCTACGAAATTTAGTCCTACAAGTGAGAGAGCGCACAGTACAGTGAAGAAGCTAATACTGCTAACGGCAGCGCATTTAAACCCTAGTCTGGGCCATCTGGAAAACTGAAGTTGGACAAAAGCAATGAGCATGGCCACTGAAAAGTCAAAAGGCAGTAAATTGCTCTCTATAATGACAAAGTAAAAGCTACACATAATTGTGTTTGACAACTACTTGAATTCTGTCCAGGAATTGCAGTTTACGCTGACTGGCTTACTCCGCCAGTCAGCAATTAAGGGCATGCCTCATGCATCAAGTGGGTTTTCTTTTGGAAAGTGGAGAGTGTGAGGGGCAAATTTCAACGGAATGTGCACAAAATGTTGCCTACTGTTAAAACAGCTGATGCCAAGGGTGAACTTATACATGTAGTCCAAATACAGGTACTTCAAGGATACTGTGGAGCTTGCTGGAGCCAAAGTCTTTGTGCATGCGGGCCATCTGGAGACGATTCAGATGCACTCCCCAGGGGTTACCTCTCTCAAACTGCTGACGAGTTGTCTTGCTCTCGGAGTGATCTTCGAATAGGTCCTCCTCGCTGGAAGAGTCCTTGTTGTCCAAGGGGTCACTTCTGACATGACACACAAATGTTAAATGACAAGAACTTTGTATTGAGTGTTATTGGTCTCATGTGGGGCAGAGTGCACAACACACTCTGCGCGCACACAACGGTTTCTCGTGTCCATGAGCAAGATACATTTCTGCAATTTCAATTACTTACGCAACATTAGATGCAATATTAAGAATGGGCTAGTGACTTCTTCTAGTCAATTAAATCCTCTCTTTCTCACTAAAGTGACCCCTTGGAACTTTTGGTCCCAAAACCCACAAGTCTTCATAAACCAAAACCTCACTACTGAATATGAGTAATTTGCTATACAGTATTTTGCTCCGACTCTTAAAAAATCTTTTAAAAGTTTGAAAAGCATAAAAGAGGAATAAGTCTGACTCAGGAATGAATACTTCTGGCTTTGGCTGTTAAGTGAACAACTGCAATTTTAACTCCATGCATGCACTTGGTTTTGGTCTCCAATGTGCATGGCACCATTCAGGGGCAACTCCAAAGGCACTCCCAGGGTTACCAAGCCACACATAACAACACAGCGCTCCTGGTCTGTACTGTCTTTGAGTCCTACAAAATCCTCTGAATCCTTTGGGTGAATTTTGAGGGACCTGGGTTGGTTGAGGTTAAAAAAAGACATAAAGCCTAACTGAAACCTTTTTGAGATTGTTATAGCCAAATTAAAACTAACTCTTCTGGAAGACTCGTTTGGGACATCTTCTGCTCGTCTGACTTTGGAGACCTCTCTGTGTCCTCTTCCCCAGCTGGGTCTGGCGCCCAGAGTTCGCCATTGCTGGGGCAGCGGGGGCCGGCAAGAGTCTGGTGCTGCACCCTGATTGGGTAGGCACGGACGCTCAATGAGCCATCATCTTCCTCCTGAACTGACACATGGACGACTCCTGATTGAAGAGAGAAAAGTGAAAATTCAGGCGGACTCACATTGTAGGGAATTAGCAAACTGTGTTAATTTTTGACTTTAAATCTTAAATCGGTAACGTGGAAGTCACTAACTGCAAAAGTATTTGAAAGTACATGCCTGTACTACAGGCTCCACGTTTGGCCAAAGTTGCAAAAACGACTTTCTTCAAAGACTTATCAAGATCAAAACATATCAATGAGAAGTAAGGAACCACTCCACTGAAATGTACACCTACTGTATGTGACATGAAACACATCAGACTTTTTGTGGTATTCACTATTCAATCAATGAGAAGTGAGGAACCACTCCACTGAAATGTACACCTACTGTATGTGACATGAAACACATCAGACTTTTTGTGGTATTCACTATTCAATTTCCACTGGTGATAACACAAATGTAAACAGCTACCTGTACACGTATGAATGCCGGAAAATCAGACTCAACCCCCTCCCCCCGGCTCTAAAATATTGTGTGTTAATGATAACCTGACCTGCAGGTACCTGGATTTTTCTGTGGCCGAGTTTCCCAACTCAACACTTTTGACTGACACATTTAGCCATTAAAATAAGTTGCTCTCCTGTTTGTAAGCAGTTGTAACTGGTAATTGGTTCATTAAAATGAAAGAATTAAACTGGTTGATTTAACCAATAGGGTACAAGGAAATTCAGCTGACAGACAGAGTATTTATGGTACGGTGCCCAAGGTATACCATGTTTGCTGACAGGCCAGCACAGACGCACATAAAAAGTTTTAAAAATCAAATTTTATTCCTACTTACACCTGAGTACCAGTATGCGTACATGCCCCAGGTACATGGTACCAGGACAATTCCGTTGCTGTAAACACACGGTTTTAAAACAATTTTCTGGCCATAAATCTGACAGACTTCACTGCATTAACCCTAACAGTCCTCAGTCCTCCAACAGGTGAAGGACTGAGGACTGTTAGGGTTAACATACCCACGGTATGTAGAACTGTGGAGGGGAGGAATGCAAGATCTCTAAACCACATTCATGTACACAGTGGGTGTGGGCATGCACAAAGTCTTAGGGAGCACAGTTTAAGTCGACTCCATGTCACGGCCGCCCTGCGCGCATAAGGTCAGAATAATAATGAACGGAGAATTCAAAACTTTCTAACTACGTACACATGGATGAAGGTCATCCAAATATTATGCACACGAAGACACAAACACAAAGTGTTGTAGTTTCTCTTACACAGCAATTAGTGTACAAAAATGTAGGGCCAACTGGCAGTGGTCCATGAAACATTTCAAACATTTCTTCCCTTGATTAAATGCTCCAAACAAACAGGCCTACTGGCTTCTTTCTTTTCTGTAAACAAAAAATTCCTCTGAAGCCCACTGGCAATGCACGTGTACAACATACATGTACACCATGTACAGGAAAATCTGAAAAAAAGGTGTCTTTTTTTTCAAGCGACCATGTAGTAAGCCTTTTGCGAGTTAACTTTGACCCAAGTCTGGTACACTGAGTTCTTTAATTCACGTGAACATACATTTGTTACAACTTGAATTCTCCTTTCTAAAACTACTGTTGCTATACCTTGTGATTCGGGCAAGCTTTTGCTTAGTTACATAAGAGACGCCTTGCAACAATACACCGTTCTCAAAGGATAAGAAGGGCACAAAGGAACCAGTCCATTCTGGAGATGGTGGTTGCTATGTGAAAGCTTGCCCCGAATCAGGAAGGTATAGCAACAGTGTCTTTAGTCTGGGGAATTCAAATTGTTATGTTTATGTGCAGTCAGATAACTCAGTGCACCAGATTTTATTCAAATTTAACTTGCAAATGGCTTATTCAAGTATTTTGCTAAACCCTTAAAATGAAACGGTACCTTTGTGTTTCAATTAACCTTAATATTCAACTTTTGTTTGCTATTTTTATCTTTATTTTTGAGCCTGTCTGGTTTTCACACAGGTGCATTTGATCATAAATTTCCATATTCGTGAGCAAACCTGTGATATCAATCCCAGGCAATGTATGGACAAAAAAACCGCAAGAATTTTTCTACATTTTGCTGTCGTACATGTGCATTTGTTTCTTTGGCAATCTACTGTTGTGTAAATATGACAATAAGCCATCGAGCAACCTTTTTTTCCTCAGAAAACGTTAACAAGTAAACTGAACAGTGTCTTCCCTGATTTACATCACAGCAACAGCGCCCTCACCTGCCCAGGGAAACTTGGGCCTATTTTTAATGTGCACTTGGAACAGACTTCATGCATGCGCACTGAAGAAGACCATAAAGATACACAAAAAGTCCTTACATGCATCCTCAAAGAGCAGATATCCTCAAACAAGGTTCAGTTTGAGGAGAAGGAACCCTACACAAAATGTATTTGGGGGAGGGAGGGTCAAATTAAACAAAAGCAATCAAGTACAAAGTGTTGGGGCTGACACAGGAAAACCTCTGTCCGTCAACTCTGGCATGTCTGGAGAAAGAGCAAAACAAATTGTGTATTTTTTTAATTATAAACATGCAATGAAAGTGTACGTGCCAGAAGTTACATGGATCATGTACATGTCTGTGTCTACATGTAACCACACACACCTGTTCCTTCAGCCGTGCACAACACTCGTGTTGTCCACTGCCATAGTGTTGTTTCAGTCACGGCATAAGGTGCCTCAGCTGAAATGCATGAAAACCCTGCAGTCTACTGATTGATATGTATACTGACCTTGGAGGAAAGTACCAGCACACTCATGTATTCAGCATAAATGCAGATGTGTATCAGTGAATGTTTGCAGTTTGGCTCACATACATGTACACCTGTACACAGTACATGTCTGATGCATGTACTGACAGAATTACCGGTCAACTGTGGGTTAAAGCCATAGAGCGTTGACTTGCAGAAATGCTTTGGCAAACAGAATCCTAATATTAGTGTGAGCCTTCGCCAACAAACAAATAATGCTGCTTGATTAATTGAACCTGTAATTGAAAAGGGCTGGTTGATCTGGCAAAATAATGATCTACACTGTAAAACTTGCGGGGCTAATGACACATCAAGTGTGAAACTTCATCAGACCCAGTAAAACACTTAGCTGAGTCTCTGTCCGAGACTCAACTGAGGAAGTTGTGTCTCTGCCCAAGACTCGACTGAGATGAGTCAAGTCACTGAAAATGGCAGTGTCAGTCTGAGTCCCTTTTTGCTTATAATGACTTGAGCCATTTCGGCGCATCACAGGTTTTCAAATGACATCCTACGATGCAGCATCTGGTTTCAGTCAATGAGTCGGAGCACAGGGGCTGAAAGTTCAAATATCACCTTCCAAACTAGAAGATAGAATGTTTCTGTCCAGTTATGAAATCTTAATTTTGCCTTTTGCAATTTCAAGCCGTGATTCCAGTGTCCCACAGGAACATCAACACAAACACAGCTGGCCTGTCCTGGGTTCCCTTGGAAACACGTGGTGCTTCTCTTTCATTTCGTTTGGCAAGTAGACAAAATTGCAGAGAAAACAACCTCTTGCCATCATTTAAAAAAGAGCATACTGTAGGAGCATTGCCCCGGTACGTGTATTTGGCACTGTACCTGTGGAATTGACTGCACCATACTGTACATGTACATGACCACCTGCTACCAGCACATGTAAACTGTTTGAACTGCAATGCGGCTAAATGTATTGACTGGCACGGCCGATGTGTTAAAATGTCAAGCGTGCCTTGTCTCACCTCCACCTGACCTGGCTAAACAGCCATTTGTTTTGCGCACAGTCACAGTCCAAGAGAGCTTATGGAGGCGGACCGTGTGTTTAACTTGAACTTGGCCGCTGTGCACGGCCTGGTGTGGTGGCAAATATTGCTCAGTGGGCGTGCCCCAGAGTCATGAAAAAATGTCAGGTTGCAGTCAAGAAGATAGCACAAATGCTGTTCAAACGATGCTTGGGAATCAGTGTTTGTGACATCTGGGTATATGTCGATATCAAATGTTGTCAGTTATGCATATACGGTATCTTGCCTTTTTCAAAACTTGAAATTTTCAGGCAAATTACAATGTCGGCAAGTGATTAAGATGTGGCGAAGGTGACGTTGTAAGGGGTGTGTGGAATTAAAACAGCTGCGTAGATTTATTGAGAATTTATCGGTCATTTATTGGTCAGAAATGGATTCTGTTTCCCCGTTCAAAAAAAAAAGACAACCACAGAGCCCTACAGGGACGCAGATACTCTCACTTGAAAGTGGCTCTTCCAAAACTTAGGGCTCTGGCTTGGAATAACATGTGTGGCTATGGCAGCCACTGACTTGTGGCTGTTGCTGCTTCTCATAGACATGTGCACATAAATGTACCTTTAAAGCCTGGCGTGAACTGAGCCAACTCTGGGGTAAGCGTCTCGTAGAAGCGGAGCTCGGCTGGCGAGACAGGCTTGCACACGGTCACCTCATCGTACTTCATCATTCCCGTGTGACCTCCGACCTGGTGCACAAAGGGCACCAGGGTCACACATTCGGCACTGTCCATCGTCACCTCTGCCGTGGAGGTTCAGTCATTGGCATTTGTGAGACCTGTTAGTAAGTCGAACCTATCTTGGCGTTCAGTCACCGTCTGGCACCTGCTGGTATCTTCCCCTAATTGCCAAGATTACCCTACAAAAGAAATCAACAGATGAGAGAACTAATCAAAACATTACCCGATACTTATTGGCAACATTTTTCACCAGCAAAATCTTTTTGGAAGATCCCCCTGAATCCACAGTGATCCAGGACTAGAGATTAGTGGGTGCAGAAAAACCCCTGTCAAATGCTCCAGCAGGGCTTGTTACTGACAGCAACCACTAGTGCACACATTCCTAACAACGTGGGTGAAAAAATCTGGCTCAATGAACTCAAGTCCAAAACAAAAACAGGGTAAAGTAGACACTCTGCATGGGAATACCTAAGTACTCGGCTGATTCCTTTGCAATCAACATACCTTCTTCATTAAGAGTTGTTTCTTATCCCATTTGATTCCAAATACAATTTCCATGATGTACTTATTGCTTGCCATGTTCTTTTTGTGATAAAAGTATTTCTCCTGATCCAAAGTTGGGCTATGCACTTGGGACTGCGCTGACACAGTTGGGCCCTGCCCCAAGTAGGCAGTGGACAAAGTCAGAACACACACGGTCTCACATTACCGGGGGATTATAGACAGTACTTGACAAAGCTCTGAGCTGTGCGGTATTGCTGGCGTCATCTATGATCATATCCTATGGTTACAATTGCAATGGTATCTGCACTGCCGCTTAAAGTCATAAATGTAAATTAACAAAAACTTCCTTGCAGTATCCATAATAGAGCACAGGTTACTGGTTACGGTGAATAGGGGACAAATGCATGGCTCCCAATTTACGACAAAGACACAGGCATTGTCTGGAGAGTTGCAGGTACAATCCTAACACGGTCCTGTGATTCCACTGTCCCCAACATGCATGCTAATCCACAAGAGAGAAATACATGCAACGAGCGTAACTTACATTATATTACTTGTCACTTGGGGTCACCAACACTGGGGCAAAATATATTTTTTAACTGAAACCGACCAGAACATGGGCCACCTACAAATGTGCATTGTATTTATGGAAATCTACTGAAAACCAATCCAAAATAGATATTTATTTTCAGTCCCAGACGCTTAGTTGACGGTTACGAAATAAACTTCACGGTGGTGGCCAACTCCATTCAAAACTTAACACGTATTAAAGGCGACACGTATGATTGCACCCCTTCCCTATACATATGAGCACTTTCGACAGGTTGCGGCTCACGTACACGTAGCATTGGAAACCGGCACGAGACCAATCTACATAACAAATAGATCTTGAACTTGTATTTTCCTTTAAAAAATCCTCAAGAGGTAGATATCTACCAACAAAGAGAAAAGTGAAAGATTGGTGGACAGTAACATACCGTAAAAAGGGAAAAAAATTTTTTGTAGAAAATTTGACAATTGTTGTGGGGCTCAAACCTGGGTCTACATTACATCGTGTCATGGGGCACCGTGCATATGAATGATCCACAGCAACCCTGAATGACCTCGTGGAATTTGAAATTACTGGTATGTACCAGTGTATAATTTACTTTTGCACAATGCCGTATTAAAACCCTCCTTTGGTTTTACAGCACC